CGGGGCAGGAGCGCGGCACGGAGCTGCTGCAGAAACGGGACTTGCGGTTCTTGCCGCCTCCTTTCGCAGACTCCTCCATCTCTATCTTTCTCTTTCTTTAATTTATGACCTCTCAGCTCCTGTTGACACAGTTTTCCACACTGCCTATGTTGTAGGATTGCATTGTAATATACGCCGAATCAGCCCAGCCGCCAGCCAGCACACATAAGGGTGGGTATTTGATATTTCGCAGCTATTTAGTAGCGCTCGGCTTCGTCTTAAGATGACAACAATTCGCCTCGCCTCCAAGTTGGCCATGAATTACACCTCGAGATCCATTTTCCTTTTGTAACGTCTTCAAGCTTAGCAAAGCAAACCACCTCAATAGCTACGGGAGATTTCCTCCTGGCCTGGCCGTTAAACAAACGTTTAACTATTCCCTTTTGATAACTAAACCTGCTTCCCGCAGATGCCGGTCTTTTCTATTGCAGAAGCAGGAGTGCGGCGAAATACGTCTGTAGTTGTTAGTAAAAGCTAGAAAATAAGCTCTGAACGTGCTGTAAAAAAAAAAAAAAAAAAAAAAAAAACAAACCCGCGGTTACTTACCGATCAGACCAGTTTAAAACACGCACGAAACTGATTTCGGGAGCGTAAGGGATTCGGGCGGATACTGGTCGAGGTGCGTAGGCGCCGGCGGCAGGCTGGAAGAGAATCAGTTAGAGTCGGGTTTATTGTTAGTGCCTCAGAGCAAAGCTTTCTGGAAGAGAATACCGTCCCTGGCCAAACCCTGAGCTTGCCGCTCCCTCGGCAAGTCAGCAGCCGCGAAGCCTTCGCTGGCTCGGCCCCCCACACCCCGGCGAGCCCGCGGGCAGGGCGTGGCGAAGTCGCTTCGTCCCCCTCCTCCCGGGAGCGAGGGGTCTCTTTGTGCACATCAACCAGCGACCAAAGCAGAAGCCGGGGCGCTGCTGGGGCATGCCTGTGGCAACCGGGCAGCCGACAGCGTGCCCTCCGAAGCGGGTTTTATTTGTTCCTCTGCCGGACCCGGCACAAAACACTTTGGAAAAGCTCTCACATAGAATTTTGCCAAGAAATTCCTTGGATCCATACTGTACCTGGTTGGAGATTTCCCGATATTTAAATTTTAACGAGATTGCTGGTTTTTTGGTTGTCGCTTTTTTTTTTTTTAATGCAGTTTTTACAGTAAGGCATCTGCTAAACACTTGCATTAACCTCTGCCTCCATGATAATTTTTCCCCCCTTGTTTTAATTACATTATGGATGCGGAGGGGCAGCCAATCCTAAAAGAGGAGCTCGGCAATTAGCAGGGCGAACATCAAAAGTTTTA